ATACTTCTATTTTTAAAGAATATCTTTTTTTTTTTTTTTGGTCTTTTCACCATAAAACCCATCTATTATGTTTTGATGTTTTTCATACTGGTACAACTTTAAATAAAATCTTTAATTTAGGTAAACAAAAATGTCGCAAAGAGATTCAGCCAAAAGACATAATGTGTTCATTTCAAGATTCAAAAGGTAGAGTTAGCTGAGCAATGTGTGTATACTGATTATCATTTGTTCATTCAAATATTTATTAAATATCTATTCTATGTCAACTACTCTGCTAGATGCTGAAAAAACAGAGATGAAAGTTAATTCCTATCTCAGAAGGCTCAGTGTCAGCAAGTCAATTTCACAGGGGCCTGAGTTAAGATGGGAAGAGGAGAGAAAAGATGTGGCAGCACAGAAGAGGAGCTCTGAGTTATACCCAGCAAGGAAGGCTTCCTGGAAGGAGACCCTTGGCTATGCAGGGTATTTGACTATTTGTGAGATGAAATTAGGACAAGATGTGAGAATATGCTGAACACTAGGGCCAGTACAGGCAAAGCCCCCCAGGAGTGAGAACCCATGGCTTCTTCCAGGAACTGAGAGTATTTTTGAGGTGCTATCGCTTAGGAAGTGGCAGGTGGAATGGATTGGCTTTGTCTGCCGTACTAATAATTAAAATTTGATACTGAAGGCAATGAGCAGACACTGAAGAAGTTTAAGGGAGCAAGAAGAGTTCATAGCCAGGGAAGGGAAAGGTCATTAGCACTGGAAAACAGATTTGAAGGAAAACACTCTGACTAGTCATTCATTTAACAGTTGGTTTAAGAAAGAACTTATAAGTCAGCTAATAGTATATAAGCTAGATAAGAAAAGTTTAAGTTTGCCAGCTTTAATGTATATTTAACTTGGATGGTTTAACTGAGTGTCTTTGAAGATATTACTTGGGTGACAAGCAAAGCAATTCATTAGTGAAGTTATTTGTTAGGGTTTCCAATAAAGCAGTAGGTGCATTTTGCTATAGAGAGCAATCCTCAAGTTTACAATAGTCAAGTTAAAGAGTAACTGGGTTAGGAGAAAGCCAAGTGACAAAGTAAAAACTGAAATGTATTAAAAGAAAATAATCTTAATATAAATCACAAGGATAAGGCTAGACACAATTTTCTTCATGAATTCACTTTTGTGAAATTTATTGGGCAAACACCCCAAATAAAAAAATTAATAGATTTTTAAAATATAACAGAAATAAGAATTTGGCATTTTATCAAGGATAACAACATTCTATTATAGTGGCCAGTAATGTGGAATGAATCCATCAGAATCTCAAGAATAAGGGCAATTTAGATCATTTAGCCAAACAACATCATTAATTTAGTATATTAGTTGAATTAGTCTAGCTGTATAGCATAATAACATTAAATATGATACATTTATACTGCAAGTTTATTGAAAGCAAAGTTTAATTATTTCAGTAAAAAGGATCGTTGAAATTGAGACCTAATATAAACTTGTCTGTTCTTACTGGACTGTAAGGCTAAATATCAAAAGATATTTTAAGGTAAATATGAAAGGTTCTTTTTGTTTTAATACTGTTCTACCACCCAAGACGGAAAAGCTCTAATAAATCTTTCAAAGAAAAAAATGGAGGGAGAGAGGGTGTGGAAGAGGAGAGAAATCACTCCAAAACATAAACAAAGTCCTTAAAATTGCACACAGTCAAGTTAACACCATTCCACGTATAAGCAGATACCGCTCCCTGTGACCAAGACTTCACTGTTAGGGATATTTTTAAAAGCAAAAACCTTGGAGTAAACAGCGAAACAAAGCAGAAGGATTTTATTCAAAGGCCTGCACACATATGGAACCCGTTAAGGGGATGGTGACTGTAGAAAAAACTACAAAGGAGTTTAAGGGACACCTAGGCTGTGTCAGAGAGGAAAAGGATAGAAGAAAGGGTGGTTACAAAAGCAAGAAAGTGGGCAGGAGATCAGTCGAATGCGAGGGAGACAGGCTCTAGGACAGATGGTCTGTTCTGTTCCAGAATGTTCAAAGTTAAGGGACACTCCTTAGCACACTTCTATTTTACACAAAGAGTGAATTAAGAAGAAACCAAGGGTCTGTCAGAGTTTTTTTCTGGATTTACTTGTGTCATTTCTTTGATAAACTTTGCTTGTTAATACATTTCATCACGTGTCTTCTTCAAACTGAGGCCCTCGGTGCATTCTCCATAATCCTTACATTTCAAGTGAAAGTGCCAACTAATTAAGAGTAAGGTTCTTGTTTACGTTGTATAATTATCTATATTAGCTTATGTTATCTTCCTCTGGAAGTTTCAGAGGAAAATTTCAGAGGAAAATCAATATTTCTTTTTTGACAAGGTGCAATGCTCACTAATTTACCACGTTTAGGACCATTCTAGACTATGGAAATGGTAACTGTTATGTTTTTCAGAGTATTTGTGTACCTACATTAAAAATTAACGGCCACAGACAAAAACTAGTTGAGTTGCCTTGCTTTGGCATAGAGGAATAATGACATATGATGAATCAAGCTCACCTGTATGGCACTTGGCAGGGAAGATAAATTTCCTAAGATATTCTACAGAACCCACATAGCTGCCAGATATAGACCAATATGAAGTCTCTTTAACCAAGCACACAGGAATAAAGGATTACACTTTATCTCAGACACCATGAAAAATAAAAAGCAGGGAAAAGAATCACTTCTTGAAAGACGTGAACTGCTAAGGGAGAGACCAGAATAAACATCTAGTAACACACATACATGCTAAGAATAAAAACACACACATCAAATCTGTGTAACCAATGACAGATTAGAAATAGACGGGACTTGGTTCAGTCAGGTCAATGTGTAGGCAAAAGAGATTTTTTCATACACTCCACCTGGTCAAATGCAGCTATTCTAGGCTCAGGGCTGGAATCTATAGGAACCCAGACAATAGGTACACTTTGGGATAAGTTATGGGCTGCATCTGCAAAGCACAAGTAAGTAGTAACTAGATAGAAATGGTCAGCTGAGTCCTGGGCAAGTCAGCTTCTGTATACATGATGGGGGCTCACAAAACCCTGCACTTTTCACTGGGCTATAAATAAGGGAAATTTGTGGGAGGTAGGCGTAATAGTGGCACCCGAAAACCCAATGTATTCCGTGAGAATGAAGTACACATTTAACAAGGAAAACTCATTAAATGTATACACTGTATGATATACGTTAATAAAATTATAAAAAACAGTTTATAATATATAGAAATAATCTCAATCATATGTTCACTTAGAAATTAATAAGAACAAAACTATCTTCAGTTAAAATGAATGTAATGTAAAGATTCATGCCATACCAATCGCTATTAATGGAATGGACCAGTATTATCCCCCTAAGTACAGCAAAATGAAAACATAAAGAGGCAACAATTGCAAATACACATCCAATACATCCAGCCAGGACAACTATTAATAGAAGAAACTGAGACTACTGATTCTAAGGTTGTGTTTCCTATAGTTTACTGGGAACATATATTAAGAACAACCTACTTTTCCCTATTTTTCTCACATCTTGCCAAAGAACCTACTTAAGAACTTCAATGACAAACAGTGAAACAGTGTTGATTAAACATAAACAGTGGTGACAGAGAGAGAAACTCAGGTCTTATTTTGGGTTACTCGAAGCAAAAATTTAATAAAGGATATACTCTTTTTAAAGCCAAGAAGGTACTGGTCAGATGAAACTGTGGCTTTGGAGACAAGCCTAAGTTCAAATTCTGGCTTCATCAGTTAACAGCTTTGTGATTCCAGGCAAATAGCTCAGTCTAACTGACCTTCCCTTTCTTCACCTGTCAAACAGGTGAAGGAAAACCCAATGCCTCTTGTAACAGTTATTGTGGGGAATAAACATATGCAAGGGCTTAATACAGTGGCTAACACATAGATAAAGTGAGTAGTGTGTCCATGAAGGAGCAGCTTCCCTTAAGACACAGCAGAACTTCCAAAAGCAGAGATTACTTTGGCATCTGTTTTAGAATGAACCTTATATTTTGCCAAACTCATTAAATCCAAACAAGTGGCAGATAATGAATGAAATTGAAGTACCTAAGTAATTCACACACAAAAAGGCCTTTAAAATTATCTTCAATTTTTTACATTTTGTTTCTAATTTAGAATTTAATTTACACTTACTATCTAGCCCAGTGGATCCCAACTTTGCATTTCAGAATCGCCTGTGGAACACTGAGAAAATACAGTGGCTAGAGGTTTTGTTGTAATGGACCTGGGAGAAGGCCTAAGCACCAGTTTTTAATTACATATTCCAGGTGATTCTAATGAACAGCCAGCACTGAGTACCACTAGTATAGCCAATCACATTTGAACGCTTTCTAAAAAATTAGATTTATTTGAGTTTAGTAGAAGTGACTCAAAACAGCTTCACCTATTCTAAGAAACTATTATAGCCTTCTCAAAGTTGTGGCCAGCATTTCCAAGTCACTTCTTTCTTCAAAATATAGAAAACCAGTTGAAATACGTAATTAGTCAGCAGAGATTCGTAAGATCATATCAACAATCTTCTTTAAGATAAAAATAAATGCATATTTTTGCTTGGAAATGTGCCATGCCTTATAGCAGATTTCCAATGCCATTTTTAAGAGGGAACAGTATTTTTTTTAAAAGGACTTTTCTCCTACATTTATTCTTCTCTTCTTGCTCTGAAGCTAGAAAAAGCAAAGATAACCATCTGAAAGACAGACCCAAGGTAATTCTACTAATTGTCTGGTTTTCTGGTTTGATGGAAATCTACTACACTCCTCTTTTAAAGAGAACCACAACCATTGAAGAGAGAACTGGATGTTGGATCAGTTAGCTTGGAACTCTTCTAACCCTTCCCTGTTTCACTGAGTGACCTTGAGCAAGTCACTTGTCTCCAGTCTAATGCACCCTCTGTAATGTGCAATCAGTGCACAGTACCAAATTTCCAGAAGGTAGAACTTGACATCATTTTCAAGGACATCTTACCAGTGTGCTGCCATCAGTCCAGCGGAAGTCATGCTCAAACATCTTGTCATTGAGGCCTATCCACTGATAATCATGGCCCACACCTAAGGGATAGGAAACCACACAGATATTGGTACTACTTTTCCATATATGGATGAAACTATATCAAAGAAAATTATTTTCAGGATGAATCATGTTTATTTAGTTGCTCATAAAAATCTCTCCTAGTCTATCTTTTGCTCTTCTGCCCAATGTGCTTTAAATGAAAAAGTTAATGTGCAAACACTGTAAAGCATTAAAGTATGACATAGACAATAATTTCCCTAGCAATTTACTATAATTAATTTTTTTTCCATCCTCACTCATGATAGAAATGTTCTATTTTTCTGTTGTTGTTGTTAAGTGATGCCATTGGCAAAAATTCAGTGGCCCAATGAAATGTGCCAGATCTTATCCATGCTACCCTCATTTTGGAAGCCATGTGTTTTTTTTCAAAGCATTTTAATTAGTGAACACCTAGACAGTTCTACAAATTTATCCTCAAAAATATTTACTTTTACCACAAGATGAGTCACTGGCAAGGATATCACACAGTAAAGTTAAATGAACCTCTATCCAGATTACAAATTAACAAACTTCTAAAAGATAGTAGGCATCATGAGAAAATATTTAATAGAACATCAAACAATGCTTCATGAGGCTGGGAATGGTGGCTTACGCCTATAATCCCAGCACTTTGGGAAGCAGAGGTGGGATGATTACTTGAGGCCAGTAGTTCAAGACAAGCCTGGACAATATCGTGAGACACTATCTCCTAAAAAAATGCTTTATGAGCAACAAATTTCTACATATTGCTACATGAAAACCATTTGCCCTCCTTTTTGCTGCAGTTGAAGGAGTTATTAAACAGCTCTGATATTAAGTTTCATTAGCTTTCAATCTCCACCTATTCAAGTTCTTAGGATGGAGCTCACTTTCTACAGTTTAAAATATTTAGAAACTTGAATGAGAATCAATATGCCCAAAGGGTAAGATTAGGGTACTATTATTAACAATTCAATTTTAATTAGCAGGACAAAAATAACTGAAAGTAACTGTAATTTTAGACAGGCATATAAATATTCAAAATAGAGACTATGAAAGTATAACCACAGTAAGAATTCTATTGAGCCATAAGAATTGGCTGTTTCTGTAAATTTAAAAATGATCAAATAGCAATTTCTTATGATTCAACCTATAGCAAGTGTTTCAACCATTACTGCCGGCCGACTAACCAATGCCTACATATATTATAGTTGAATGTTTCCCAAAATGGGGGACTTAGGCGAGATGATTTTAAGTAACCCACAGATGAGGGATTTGATAAGTTGTATTATGATTGAAAAAGCTACTTCTTTTCACTTGCACACAGACAAAACTAAGAGAGTGATGAGAAAGAGTGAAGTTCCCAGAAACTCATGTCTATTTGGTACATACGATTAACAAACGTTTGTTCTTCGTGAGACAGGATGCTTGTGAGATGGGCACCCTGCAGACGGCATTCCCGTTCAGCTGCATCCCATGTGCGTCGATGGGCAAAGTATTTGTAGCACTGCCCTTGGAATTTGTGCCAGCCATAGTCACATGTCTCAGTGTCTGAGAAGAAACAGGCAGGAGCTTATTAAACACACACACATCACTCAAACTTGGCACCCTGATCCAAGTGTTAATAGGACACCCAAGCCAGTATCTGTGCAATGTCCCTGAAGTAACTGATTCATAAAATTTAGTCATGATGACAAAGAAATTATTTTAAAGTTAGCCCAATTGATTCGTGTGAAGTGGATGGCTGTACATCTTTGGACTGCAAAGGCAGCATCTAACAGCAACTTCCTTGATTAAAACCAGAGAAAACTGGAAGAGGGGCCAGCCAAAATCTCTTGGGCGGCTATAGTGTTGGCTGACTTACTTGTGAAGCAACTGGGGCTAATTCTTTACCAACACAACTTTTCTAAGAGACTCATTCAAGTGATAGATAAGAATTCCGGCTAATAGGATTACGAATGCCCTATTTGCATAACAACTTCAAAGGTTCTGGAAATAGTCCTCTCCCACTTCCCAAAGAGATATCTGAGAAGTCACAGGCTCTTGTCATAGGAAACTGACAAAGAGAAAAAAAATCCGTTATGAATAGGTACCTTTTGGGATATAACTAGAGCTGTATGCCTTCTTCCTAAAAAGAAAGGTAAGATAGGTAACGCCCAATGAAAATGCATCAAGATTTTAAGATTATTAAAAATAAAATAAACTAAATTATTTAACTCATTCCCCTATTCCACCAGGTCATATACATATGTGTGTGTGTGTGTGTGTGTGTGTGTGTGTGTCACAATAAGCACACTATAACTGATACTCCAGTGAGATGAAAATATTTTTCAAATATATCTAAATTTTACACTGGCAGTATCAGCTACACTTTCTAGGTTGCCAATTTTTACATAATTCCACAGGAAAGTAGCCTTGTTCACAGCAACTGTATTCTTCACTGGCAGTCTTCCCACAGAATCACTCATCCACAGGTGGGGTTACACTATATATTAAATCATAATCAGTAGAAATAATTTTGACTTTCACAAAATACACCCCACAATTATATTGAAGTTGTTGCATATAAAAACTAACAAAACTGCAAAGTTTATAGAATTTCAGGCACCAAGAAAACCTTCCAGAGGACCTAATAAGTATCTCCCCCCACCCAAATATGCCGATTAATAGAAGAAAACACGACTGGACTAAATTAATGTTTGCTTTATATGTTAGTTTTGGTGGCCAGATTGAAACTCAGATTGTCTCTTGACTCTCATTCCTGTTACTCCTCTTTCTATAACCGTGGGAAAGTATGAATTCTGAAAGATTTCATTTCTTTCCTGGCTTCAGTGATTAAAACCATACTCACACAACAGATGCAGCTTATCTGAGCGCAGTATTTATTTCAGTTTAGTCTATCAGGCCTGTTGTTTAGTTGCAGCCAGCTGACTAATTCTTTTGAGTAATGTGCACTGGAAGTTTTGCGTTTATTAAAGTGTTGTTTGGAGATCACCAAGTCTCATAGGAAAGGACTCAAGACACAGCTAGATGGTTTGGTATAAAAGTAGCACTCAGTGCCTCAAAATGAAGCAAATTTTGGCTACTTGGATGTAGTGTTTTCACTTTGGGGAAGTTCATTTGTAAGAATTTAGAGGTAAGGTGAGAGGGGTAGGAAGAACACAGCTCTTCCTATATGAGGGTATTAGTTTACAGAGGAGGAGAATCAAACATTTTTTGAGAACATTCTTATGCCAATGTAAATAATGTGATTTGTAATGGCATATAACTTTCCTTAACCATGGACATTATCATTTAACTTAAGATACACGATGTACAATTCTGGAGGATCTTAACCTCTTGAATAATACATCAGAAAAAACTTTTTTACATACCCTTTCTTATCTGCTATTATCCCAATTGGTTTTAGTTTGGTTTCCCCTTTTTTGTCTTTTGTGTGTGTATGTGTGTGTGATGAAGTCTTACTTTGTCACCGAGGCTGGGGTGCAGTGGCATGATCTTGGCTCACTGCAACCTCCGCCTCCCGGGTTCAAGCGAGTCTCCTGCCTCAGCCTCCCTAGAAGCTGGGACTACAGGCATGCACCACCATGCCTGGCTAATTTTTGTATTTTTTGGTGGAGACGGTGTTTCACCATGTTGCCCAGGCTGGTCTTGAACACCTGACCTTAGGTGATCCACCTGCCTTGGCCTCCCAGAGTGCTGGGATTACAGGCGTGAGCTATCGCACCCAGCCCTTTTTGTCTTCTAAATAGTTTATCATTAAGTATTTTTCCTCCTAAACAAGAAAACCCAGATGATCACAAAATGTAGATGAGTGACGACGTCACTACTAACAATGCCAGTCTCAGTTAGCAGATGCATACGTTCCTATCAGAACACAGGTCCAATAAACAGAGGCAGAGTTTCTGTTAAAACCAAACTGGGAGAATGTATTTATTTGTACTATCTAAATCATAGCTTCCCAATGATTATAAATATATCTAGTTTTTGTGTAAAAAAAATAAAGCCAACTATCCACATTGATTCACTTACATTTTTTTTTTTTTTTTTTTTTTTGAGATGGAGTCTCGCTCTTGTCACCCAGGCTGGAGTGTGGTGGCATGACCTCTGCTCACTGCAACCTCTGCCTCCCAGGTTCAAGCTATTCTCCTGCCTCTGCTTCCTGATTAGCTGAGATTACAGGTGCTCACCACCACACCCGGCTAATTTTTGTACTTTTAGTAGAGATGGGGTTTCGCCATGTTGGCCAGGCTGGTCTCGAACTTCTGACCTCAGGTGATCCACCCGCCTTGGCCTGCCAAAGTGCTGGGATTACAGACGTGAGCCACCATGCCTGGCCACTTAAATTTTATTATTCATGAATGCAACAAATATGTAATGAAGGATAATGTGTCAAGCTGCATCTCCCAGGATGCTATTCTGATAGGAGATATTATTCATAGAAATAGTCTATTTGTTTTCTCAACCTTACCTAAAAATTATGTGAAACTCTTTTTATTTATTAAAAGGCAACCCTTGTGGATGACATTTTCCTAAAAATCATTCAATGGATGGAAAGACATCTTATGCTTTAAAACTCCTATAGGTTTTAAAGAGGTTACAAAAAAACAGGTTGTTTCGATAGATTACAATACAAACCCAGATTGTAGTGTGCACAGCTCCTGGAACATAGAAGGTGAAACTAACACAAACAATGTCACCAAAAATGTATTCTTTTGATGCTGTACAGGTAATGTTTTCAACATCTCTGACACATAGCCGTCAAGTCCTAAGAAAGTGCCCATCCTCTATGCTTCTCACTGCGCAAGCTGTATCATTGACTTTGGCCAGGGCAGTTTGTGCAGCCAGAACTGCCTCTCTACTGTTCCAATAGCCTTTTCTAGATTGTGTATCTGTAATTATTGCACCAAAATGTGTCCCCCATTTCAGAGTAACTGTGACTTGGGAAGTTACTAGTGCAGAGAACAGAAAATGTCAGCTGAAGGAACACCGACACGGTCATCACCGAACTTTGGATAGAAAATTGTTTAGACAACAAAATTGCTGTTAATGAAGAAAACATTTGTTCTTAGGCAACCTGGAAAGAGGAGAAAAAAATCTTTCAGTATCCTGGCAATAAATCACAGGAGCACAGCTGCACTGCATAAACAGACTGGGATCGATGTTTCTCAGCAAAGAATGTGCATGAAAATCAAACTTGCTTGAAAATAAAATAGAAAGTACCTGAAAGTTAGGTGGCACCAGAAATAAAATTAATTAACACTTTTTACTTTCAATATTCTTTTGAAAAGAAAGAGAAAAGGTCAACAGCACCAAAGTCCCTTCCAAAAATCTGTTACTACTCAATCCATCAGATAAACATAAATACAGGGTTTATCTTTGAGAGTTACTGTAGAAGTGTGAAGATATTCAGAGAAACTTGGGCTGTAGAGTTAAGCCATTTAGGTTCACTTTTCCCACTGTATGATTTACTAGCTGTGTGACATTAAACACATTACTTTTTTTTCTCTGAGCCTTAATTTCTAGCCCATTTAATGCATAGAAATGCCACGCCAACCAAATGAAATGTTCCAGGATGCATCTGATAGTCTGTAAAGTATTACATTTTCTTCTCTGCCAAGAGTTATGCTAAGTCACCAGGATCAGGGACTTTGTTTTGTTCGTATTTCTATCTCCAATGCCCAGAACGGTGCCTGGAAGACAGTAGGTGCCATGTTGAACAAATGATTTTTTGAATTGCTTCTTGTACTTGGAACTAACAGAAGCCAGAATCATGTTTAACATATTGCAATGTCTCAACTGTCTCAGGCTTTTGTTTTCTTCAACAAATGCCATCTTTCTAATGTTTCTACTTTAAGAAGAGGATCTTGCTTGGTCTATCTTTATATTCAAAACCTAAAACAAACAGATTCACCCTATGCAATAAAAAAAGAAAAAACCAACACCTAAAAATGTAGCCATCATCCATCCACTTGGAATGGCAATTCAATACATGCTCCTTTTGGATTTGCATTCATTGCAGTGACGTCCAGATTAACACCATGAAGCAGAATGTGGGACCAGACCAACGTGCCTGAGTGTCTAATGCATTTTCAGTTTGTCTGGTGGAATGGAAGTTTGGCACTGAACACTTTTATCAAAGCCAAACCACTGTACGAGTTTAAGTAGAGGAAATCGACATTCCAAAGCTGAGTGTGCTTAGCACGCAATCTGTTTCTTATTGATGGACCAAGAAATGCTCCCATTAACCACCCAAAATATACTCTCAGGTTGGCCATAAAATGCAAATTACAGGGATCATGAGATTCAAGCCATCGTGAACATAGGGCTTTCTTTCATTCAGAAAAAGTCAACCTTTCTTTAGTAGGAAAATTTCCTGGTGAGCAGATTCACAATATCTTCTACTTAGCATGTGCCAAGGCAAATGTATTCTAACAACTATATCAACTCATTCTCCAGATATGATTGACTATGAAAAATAAGTCCATTGAGTCTCAAGTGCTTAGAAGGAGAAAATAAAAACAGCTAGCATTGAATTCAGTACTCCTTCATACACGAGCCACAGTAAGGTCAGTGCTTAGCTTGTCCCCAAGAAAAATACATATGACAATATTCCTTCTATTGGCTGGATGTCTTTAAATTCAGCTCAGTGTGCCTGCCTGCAATTCCAGTCTATCAGCTAAACAACCATAATCAAGTCAACACTATGACTCAGACATTTTGAACTATCCATGAATAAGGAAACCTAAGGAAATGTGAATTTCCACTGCAGGAAAGAATATGCATTGAGGCCAAAATTTCTAAAAAAATCAATAATGTTCATCACACAAATGTTGCAATAACTCTTACCTTGTTCACAAAGTGCACCAACATAACTTGGAAGGCAGAGGCACCTGAATGTGTTAAAACCATCAACACAAGTGGCTCCATTCCGACAGGGATTAGAGTGACATTCATCAAAATCTGAAACAAAATAGTAAAAGCTCACAAAATACTTTCAAAAAGTATCAAAGAATTCCATTTAGTGTGAGGTTACAAGACAACATACAAGACAGCCAGTTAAATTTGAATTTCAGATTTTAAAAAAGTACAATTTTTTAGCATAAGTATGTCCGTGCTATATTTAAGGCAAACCTATACTATCAAGTTATTCCTTTTTTACTTGAAACTCAAATATAAGTGGCCATCCTGAATTTTTATTTCCTAAATTTAGCAACCCTAAGAAAATGTCAAAGGTATTCAGAGTAGGGTCATTGTCTCCACTGCTAATAAATGAAACAGATAAGCCCCAAAACTAATGAAGAACCAACACCCCCAGCCTTCCCACCTCCAATCATGGCTCATTCTCTGATTACCTCGCACATGGAATACTCAAAGTATCTAACTGGCCTCACCATCCCTGGGCCCCTTCCTCTCCAATATATCCATCACTCTGCTAAATGTCATCTTTTTAAAACACAGTCATGATAATTTTATTCTTTTACTTTCAAACATTCCATGGATCCCAATTGCCCAGGGCAGCAGTCTTCAAGGTGAGCTCCCTGGGCCACAGCATCAGCATCACCTAAGAATGTTAAAAATCCACATTTCCAATTCTACCCCAAATCTACTGAATCATGTACTTCGAGGTGGAGACAACAATCTGTTTTACCAGCCCTCTGATGCATGCTAAGGTCTCAGAATCACTTGACTAGAGTGTGAAGTAACACTATTCGGTATCCTGAACTCAGGACCTTCTTAGACCGTCAGGGCTTTCTAGACCCAACCTGCTTTCTGGTACTGTCTCCCAATATGTCTCTCTCTCCCAAACCCCTAAGTAGGCATACCTGGATCCAGGCCGTCATTCAAATGCCTTCTGTAGTTTTTGGCCTCTGTGCTTTTGTTTGTTGTGTCCATATCTCCCTCCACCACCTGTCAAATCTTCCCAACTTTAAAATCTATGTCAAATAAATCTTTCTACACAGATTCTAATCTTTCTACATATGATCTCCCCTGATGAAATTAGTGACTTTATTTCCATAGCATTTTGCAATTACACTAAAAATTTAATGTTTAAGAATATTTTTAAATGAATAAACAAAGCAAGTTAAATTTCTCAGTCATATAATGTATTCTTACCTAAAGAAATGGTCTTAGTAATGATGCTATTATATAGTAATAATACCAAACATGTTTATGGTGCTTGCTGAGTGCCAGACACTTTGTCACCCAGCCTGGAGTGCAGTAGCATGAACACGGCTCACTGCAGCCTCGACCTTCTGGGTTCAATCTATCTTTCCACCTCAGCCTCCCAAGTAGCTGGGACTACAGGCACGGTTAATTTTTGGGTTTTTTTTTTTTTCAGAGGTGGTGTTCTGCCATGTTGCTCAGGCTAGTCTCGAACTTCTGGGATCAAGCGATTCGCCCACCCTGCCCTCCCAAAGTGCTGGGGTCATGGGCTTGAACCACCGCCCCGGCCTCGTTGACTTTTTTTTTTTTTTAAGTACTCTTTTAATATGAATGTTGGGATTGTATCTCAATATTTATGTATAATTTAAAGTGTTATTGGTGAGCTTTCTTTACTCAACCATTGTAAGCAAATCAAGCAAACCTTCATGATATCTCTAAAAGGAACATCTGGACAACATATTTCATCATTCTTTTCTCAGAAGTGAGGTCTATATGTAGCCAAATCAACACTGGTGCCTTCTTTTTTCTTTAAAGAGAAGGATGCCTAAATAAGAATATGTAAGGGTCAATTATATTCCTTGGAACCGAAAGAGAGGCAGGCACCAGCAATTGCACAGCTCCCTGAGGCTGAGGCACGTTGGGCTGGTTCCTGCGAGTCAGGGAAAGGTCTTTCCCATTCCAAATGACAAGAAAAACTTATCCGAAAACTAGGGACTAAGCTCTCTACCTTTTATTATTTTCCTAATTTTTAAGTCTAGCTTTCTAAAAAGATTTTTATACTGAAATTGATTTTTATTTATATGCAGATTTGGGAGATAGATGTACATTTTTGTTAATATTTATGCATCTTTATATTTGTAAATTCTACCTGTAAAAACCACAAAAAGGCTCAGCAGGCCTCACTGAGTCTTGGGTATGTTAACAGAATTCACTGAACGTCTGTACCCATTTTCCAGCCCCTAGTTAATTACCCTCAGATTTTAACTTCAAATAACATATAATTAATCTACACATGGGTTTCTCTGAAATCTCTGATTGATTCGACAACATAAATTCTCCCCCAATATATCTTCTGTGAAAGAACTGCACCCTTTCAGTCAAGTACCATCTTACCAAGTTCACACTGGTCTCCACTGTATCCTGGCACACAGGTGCATACATAGGAAGTTTCAGTAGGATAACAGGTGCCTCCGTTAAGGCACGGGTTCATTTTGCAACGATCAGGTCCTACCATATTCAGGAAAGTAAGAAAAGCAATTAGGCCCATCTCTAACGTTTCAGTGTATTTTAGCATAAAATGCCCCATATTGCTACCATATTATAGGCTTTACCATAGCAATTTAGAGTTACTACATATAAAAATTAACATTAACTTTACTCTCTGGAGTGTTTCTTGGCATTATAACTAATTGTTACAAATTGCATCTATTCATTTCTGGGATTCAATCATGATTACTCTTAAATGATATTTTTTGTACTGTATCTGGCAACTAACATATTCTACTGCAGATTTAGTTGGCATGATAATGGCAATTGATTTTAGTCAAAAATGATTACACATATGTGCACAGTGAATGGAAAATGTATTCTTTTAAATGGGGTTAGTTCATGTGAAATGGCTGGATACACAGAACATGCATTCTTTTTAGCAGGTTGGCTTGTTATCATCATTTGAATTATTATTGCCTTTTACCACTTAATGCTCAGAAACTGTTTTTCTTCGAAAGTGTGCACTGAAGTCTCTTCTGCTACATTAATATGCTTTTTCCAAAAACACGTTCCAAATGTACTCCTTTAAACTATACTTGAAGAAAAGCAACACATGGATTAAACTCTACTGTAGAAAAACAAACCCAAATACAAAAACCTCACCTAAAATGAAACACCAAGTTTTTATTATAATTTTCTTATTAAAATACAAATAAAACTGACACTCCTGGGAGATAAATATAAAGGTTGAAGACATAAATTTATGAGGACAAACAGTTTAAATATATTTTCTAAGTGCAAATACTTTTATACCACTTGAAGCATATATTTTACGCTGCAATATTGCTTGGGTAAGTGTATTTTCATTGAGTTTATACTTATTCTTTGTATATTGTTTCAGAACTGCTTACATTTCCAAATGTTCAAAGATCCAAATGAGAGTTGAAAGTTTTACAAAATAATTGAAATAAACTAGATTATCTATGGAATACACCCATATTTTCAAGAATCTTAAGTCCTGAAACCCTGAAATAATTACACGTAAAAGAAGAAAGATGTCTAACTTCTTATGAAACATTAGCTTAAAGAATATTAGGATAAACAAGGTACTGCTAAAAAAGATAACTGAGGCTTCCCCACACCAGAAAGTCAAACTCAAATTCTGACTGTTAAGTAAATTCTGGATGAATATAAACCTGGATAGGAACTCATTCCCACGTTTGGGATTCACATTAAAATTAGGTTAACTCAGATGCATCAACTGCTCCACAAACTTCCCTGAATTTTCTAAGACAGTTTTTCCTGTAGTTCCAAAACTGTTTGAAACCTCCCTAACACTTTTAGCTTTCTGGATCTGAAAGTACAAGTACGCTGCCAGGATGACAAGGCTGCAGTTAACACACACCATAGCCACATGCTGCCCTTTGTGCTGAATCCAAATGACACTATGTGAAAGTGCTTTATCAGACTGTGATGTGCCACACAAATGTGAAGAAGTACTACTACTATTCCCACCACTGACACTAGACACCATGCTGAGACTATGAGACAAGGACTGAATGAGTCTGTGAACTGGAAGTCGTTCCAATTAAAAGGAAACTTCTGTTTTTATGAATGTTATTCTCCCCTAAACAGTTCATATTAACCTCTGAAAGCTGAATCTGCAACAGATAGACCAGGTAATCCCATATGAGCTGCTGTTTACTGAATGAAACTAAAGAGACCATTTGTTTTGCAATGAAGACGCAAACTATAATTCTTGGTAAATATTGCACACTGGATAATTGGTACATATTTCTCATTCGTCAAACTAAACTCTATATGTACCTAGTTATTACCAGTTATTTTTATAGCATATTTTTAACAAACTGAAGTATATTGACCTAAATTAAAAAACGATAAATATTAGCCAAATTACTAGATTATCATTTACAGATTAAACACAGTGATAACAAAAAACCCAATGTCAACTACCTTTGATCAATTTTCCTCAAAATATTTCAAGCCATTTATTAAACATTGTACTTTCTGACTATTTTACTCTTTCTGAAGCACATCAAAATAAAGCATTGGTGGCACAAAAGGTAACATTGATATGATCAGAAGAATAATTTTAATGATAGTCATGGCATAAAACATATTAATTAAAATAAAACATATATTTTCAAGCAAGACAGACATTAAAGTACAGATTTTTTTCTCTTTTTCCAGGTAGCAGCTAGCTGGTGATGTCTATTTGTGGATTCCACTAACATTGTTAATTTAAATAATAACATTCTGGGAAAACACCATTAGAACTGATTTCTTAACATTCTCAGGCTAGATTAAGACGAAAATAAATTCTACAAAGTAAATATTCCAAGATTCCTGGTTCATATATTATTTAATATCAATTGTTTATTTTTATACTATACTGAAACCAGCAAAGAGCAGTGAAAGGACTATGGACTTTAGAGTAGAGCTAAGCTGGGTTCAAATCCTACTTTTACCACAAGGTGGCTGTGCCACCTTGGGCAAGTTACTGAACCTCTCTGAATCTTCACCTCTTACTCTTTCACATAGGGCTTATATAGCCTTTTTGTGACAATCAGAAGAGATGGCTTATATGAATCAGTATCAAATTCATGCTTTCCATACATTCACTAAATAAACAGAAAACTTCTCTCAATAGGCAATATGTTTATATAATAAATGACTACTCACTACTGGTAGGCACTGTGTTTGATGCATTATGTAAACTGTCTTAAACAAAGACATTGCATACAAGTATGAGCTGATATTGATACTGCACAAACTCTGAAATAGTTATTAGAGCTATTTACTACTCTCAAATGTTAAAGGCCTGACAGATTTTGATACTGCACCAATAGCATCCATCAATGAGAGGGTTTTTAAAAATAGGACTTTTTATCTACTTTTAAACCTAAAATGTATAACTATGAGACATATGACAAAGCAATACTCTAGTAGTGAGTAAAAACAAATTGAATTTTTATAACATTAATAATTTCATCTTTTCCATGTTGTAATTGTATATTATTTCTAAAACCCAGTAAAATACAAAGTCTACTTTAACGTCCAAAACTAATCTATACTTACTGTCATTTCATCTCATTATGAATTCAGTACTGTGGCCTGGCCTGCTGTTATGTGAATAACATGAAACTCTCCATTGATTTAACATCACAATAAAAATTATATACATATAAATATTAGCACCAAGGGACTGTTTCCAGGTTTGAAAACAGATTTATCAATGTTGTGATCTTACCTGGTAGATAGATTGCCGTGCCTTCCACTGACTCTTCATTAATGCCAATCAGGAAATCTGTTTCATTAGAAGTTTCCAGAAGGGAAAATGGTGGTGTTGCAACCTCAGTATTAAATTCCACCGGGCTTACAGTTGCCTGATTATTGGAATCAAGAATTCTCGCTGTCACTTGCTGTTCTGATGCTGCTACTGTGGAATCCTGCCCTCTGATTAAAGCTGCTTGAGTTTCAGGATTTATATCTGGAGAAGAAGAAAGCGTGGGCCTCTCAGAAGTCTGTGGACTCAGCCAAGGCATCACACCTGCCTCGATCCCATAAGTGGCAGAAGCAGAAGTAGAGTGTGGCCACTGTGTAGCACCTTCTAATTTAATTTCATTGGCAGTTGTAATAACAGTTCCAGCTTCGGTTGTTTTAATGGTGGGAAACATCTTGATTGCTTCTCCAGAAACTTGACCATCGGTTTTGTTTTGGAAATCTTGGAGAATCTCAGTTCCTTCCACAGCAATAAATTCTGTGGGAGAAGCTTCCGTTTCTTCTAATAACTCAGGCTTACCATCCTCTTCTGAAGGTTCTAATTTTGTGTCAGGAGATATAGAGGGAGGCTCAGTTATGTGAAGGTATTCCTCACTTGATGGTTTGAAAGTCGCTTCAATATTTACATGAATTTCCTTAAAAGAATCCTCTGGAGACATTACAGATGAGCCGACATCTACTCCTGGCAGAGCACTGGGCTGGGGGATCTCTGTGTGTCCAGAGGCTTCACTGCCTGAGTAGATAGTGAGGGGAGATGACGGTGTCTGAGAAGACAACTTTGCAAATGCTGAAACTGCTAATGTTGTATCCGTGTAGTATGGGGCATTGGATCCTTCCATCACATTAGGCACCTCTGTTAAACTCTCATCCACAAGGTGGGTAGTAGCAATACTTAGATAGGGAGTATGATCTACTAATGCCTCCTCTACTCCTGAAGAGAATTCTGGCTGAAAAGAAGGACCCGCATGTTTTTTGTCTTCATACTCCTCCTGGGTCCTTTCAAATTGGCCCAATGTTGGTATTATTTCACTTTGGTCTGCAATAGCTTGACCATCAGACAAAGTGCTTGATTCAAACATGTCATCCAGGGCTTTTGCTTCAGCTTTTATTTCTTCAGTCTCTGGAATAACTGTGGCAGACTTACGAGAAATTGGCAGAGATGTTGCCGTGGGAAGTAAAATGTCTAGTTCTGTTTCTGTGCTAGGAGCAGGGATCCCAGTTGTGAAGTTAAAGTCCATGTGATCTAGTTGGCTTCTATCTTCATAAGTCATTGATTCATCATGTGTTGCCTGAGTGTAGCTAGCCAGAAGAACATCACCAGAGCCTTCAAATGTTTCCTCCGTTAAAGAACGGTTGACAGCTGCCTCATAGGTCTCTTGAACTTGAGTGCTGTAATCATTACTTTCATCATTACTGTCATGTGGTTCTGATGGTACCTCTGGATCTATATCTGTTTGCATTCCAAGAATATCTTCATATACAGGTTTAGTATGATCAATATCTATGATAGTATTTTTATCTGATGTCAGCTCAGGTAGAATTTCAAGGATGGTACTCTCTGTAATTGTCAATATTAAATCCTTGTCCTCTTTGTCCAGGTCTATAATAATATTTTCGGTGGGTTTTTTTCTGTTAGGTTTTAAGGTGGAATCCTCGAATTCCCTGAAATGGTCTTGGAAACTACCGTCTGTGGACCTCTCATATGACACTGTATTTGACAGTGTGCTAGTTGGATCAGGGGAGCTTTTGTTCTGCTCTGAATGAAAAGGCAGCATCGCTGCAATTGTTGGGAATCCATCAGCAGTAACAGCTTTAGTGCTTGGCACCTCAGGATGTTTTTCCAGGGACCCATCAGAAACGAACGTGGTGCTGCTTTCTTGTGTGGTTGCCTGAGTAGTTGCAGAAGTGTGAAATGAATCAACAATATCCGCTTCTCCAGATCCTTCTCCAGAAGGTTCATAAAACATATCAGATGGTTTTGGTGCTGATGTAACAAATTCTTTGGCCATTTCAAACCCATAAACTCTAGCCAGAAAATCAGTGGATGAGGTTGTTGTTTCGTTAATTTCTGCTGTTGAAGAATTCTTGTTAGAGTCTTGTTCAGTTATGGTTTGTGGTCTACTAGTCTGGATTTCTTCTGCCCATCTGAGAGTCTGATTTTGCGGATGTCCGATGTTCGCGGAGAAAGGGAGAGGTGCCACCGTGGGTCCTTCTGCTCCAGGGTCACTTAAAATTTCTATTAAAGTTGTGCTGGTTACTGACTCATTACCTTCAAAGATGTCTGTTTGAGACACGAGTGGTCCAACTTCTTTTGCCACATTTTCCATTCTGTTAGAGTCTTCAGTTTTGTCACTTGAGGTACTTTCCACTTGAGAACTGTGGGGATAGAATGTGTTCCTAATCTGTTCCACTTCAGTAAAATTCACTGACTTTGTTGGTAGAGTAGGTAAAACTTCTTCTCCTGATCCCAGTCCAGAGAATAAGAGCTCAGTATCTAACTCTTGAATTGTTGGTCTCATGCCTTTGGGAAAATGCTTTGTACTTTCTTCCTCTTTGATTGGTGAATCTGTGACTACATGTTCAGCTGGTATAGATTCAGTCACTAAGGCAGTAGCTAAGAAAAAATGTGACTTTTCAGTAGCTTCAGGGAGAGTTGTAAAAGATTCCATGCCATTTGCAACTGGATCTGGAGTAGACATGTTAGCTAAGGAAGTGCCTTCCTCCTCCATTTCTTTATCATCGCTGTAAGTTTTCTTTGTCGTTAGTACAGAATAACCTGTGGTTTTGAGTTCAGTTTCAGTAAATGTCTGTGAATCAAAGATTGTTTGTTCTGTTGCAGGAGAGTTTTGGGGGGATTCAAAAGACTTTTCTTCTTGAATTTGTTCCTCTGATGTTGTTTCACTTTCAATTTCTTGTCTTTCAGGGTTGACTTCTTGCCTAGACCATAATTTGGCTGGCTCCATAGTTTGGGGAAAGTTTGTTGAAATTGTGCCACTGACCTTTACTTCCTCCTTTTCTACCGGAGCTTTCGTACCTTCCACTTCTGCTGTTGGTAAAATGGTGGATCTTCTATCAATTTCATTGACAGTATCCACTTCTCCCAATCCTTCGTCAATAATGGAGGAAGCTGTACCAGAAAACCTTCCAATAGCACTGGGAAGCACTGGATCAACAGAGCTGCTGACTATGACCAGTTGCTCACCTGAGCCCTCAGCTGAGGATGTAAACTCTTCCCAGGGGAAGGCTGAAGTGCTGACCATGGTGCTACTGGGTCCTTCTGAGTCAGATATGTGACTGATGTGAACTGAAGTAAGTACTGTAGATGGTGAAGTCTGGGTATCCCTAAATGCTGCATCTCCAGAGCCTTCCATCATTACTGTTTCTTCTTTTGCTATGGGATGAGACACTGTTGAATATTCTTTAAAGTCACCACTGAAATCCTCCTCCAAAGGAAAACCTGTGGAAAAGCCCCTTATTTCTGCCCCATGATTTGGTTCTCCTAATCGTTCTGAAATCAATATTTCCCTGGATGTTTGGCTTATATTTTCAGCAACTTCTCTGTCCATTACTGTACTCATAACCAGTCCTGTTGGCTCAGTGGAGAATGTAGTTTCCACATATGGAGACAAAGTGCCAGCTGCTTCCTTTTTGGCTTGAATTTCATACTCTAAATTTAATGAAAATGAAGAAACAGTGGTGGTTTCTGGGTCAGCAGCAGCTTCTCCAGAGCCCTGCTCCATAAAGAGAGAGGCAGGACTACCTGGGAGAGTGGTCAGCCCTTCCTGAACCCCAGGTTGATGGATACTGCTGTGCTCAGTGGTCTGTGCCTCCAAATTTTCTAATGTATTTGTTTCTGTAAAGACAAGAGTAGAATCTGTCATTTCCCTTTCAGACTGTGTTGGTGTTGTCAAGGACATAAAACTTTTCCTGGTACCTGAATCATTAGATACAACTACATTTGAACTTTCTAATTCAGAGGGTAAAATTAATTGATCCGATCTCTGTGTAGGTGAATATACCTCAACTGTGGAAGCCGTACCTGTAGTTCCCTCCTCCTCCTTCCTTTTCTCTTCCTCAGCAGAGGTACTAGAAATCCACTCAGAAGTGTCTGTTTCACTGACAAACTTGGTAGGCACCACTTTTGCAGAAGGTTGTTCAGAAACTGAATAAATGGTGGTTGCAGGAACCTCAAAAAAGCTTTCTGTGATTATCCTGCTAGTGTCTAAAGTAATGAGTGTATCAGTAGTATTTCTCTGTGATAAATCAGTTACAATGGTGAACATTGTATCTTCATCTGCTTCTGCTTCTCCAGAGCCTTCTGTAACTGGAATTGAAGAACTCCCTGAGAGCTCTACAACTTGTCTAGGAGTTGCTTCTACCCAGCTTTCTTTGGTAGACAACAGGTCATCTGGCCAAAGATTTCCTATTAGGGTAACTGCTTTTTCCTCTGAAACATATGCTGATGCAGAACTTGGAACTACAGTAGGAGTGTATGTGACAGAAGTACTTTTTTCTACCTCTTCACCAAATGTTACTTCTGTAGGCCTTGCAAAGGCTATTTTCTGAGATTCTTGGTCAATGGCAATCTCTCCTGAAGACTCTTCAGGAAACAGAGATACGGTTTCAATATGTTCATGTGCCTGATGACCAACTTCAGTAACTCTCTCTGTGACTGATTCTGCCCCCTTTATGGCTGTTCCACTTTCAAATTCCTCATGGAATGGGACTGTGGGGAAAACATCAGGCTCACCACCTGAAAAATGTTCTGATGTTTCAGGGTAAGTCTCAGGCTTCCATGTAATTTCAAGAGATTCAGTTGTTTCTGTAGATCCATTAGGTTGCACAGCAGTAGACAATTCCGTTTCAGCTATTACAAATGGACGAGTATCACTTTCAGAGCTGTCCGAGAAATTTTGAGAAGGTGCAACACTTTCAAACTGGCCACGCCTAGCTTCTGCAGCTTCTGGGTCCTTGGGCACAGTGGTAACTAGATGCTTCCCATTTATGTACTGTACAGACGGGGTGGTTGTCACATCAGTAGCATTTGCACACTCTTCTTCTTCTTCTTCATTTTCTTCACTGTGGTATAGGTCTATTTCAATTATGTCAGGGAATTCAGGTAAAATTTCAGCCATTAGATCATGCACTGGATCTGTTTCTTCACTACAAGGTTCATCTTCTTTAGATTCTGAATCTATTGGATGACCAATTACACTCAAATCACTCATTCGACCTGAAAAAAACAGAGTTTTCACAATACTTAAATAGAAAATTTGGCAGTGTATGACAGAAGAAATTGATAGCAAGGTTGGTCACACTCACACACAAAAAGAAGGATTCAAATCTTTTCATAATTAAGTGCAATCACCCTCTTATATGGTTCTCAGTCTTCAAATTTGCTGTTTTTGTATTAACAATAAGAAAAATGAATTCAATTTAACATTATTAAAACAGGTTATAAACACTCATCAACGCATTTAAGAAAATGACATAGTCCTTAAAATGAAGCAAGGAATCACATATACAATGCAATCTTGAAGTACAGGAATTCATCTTTGTGTGAACTGCAAAAAGAGTAAAATTAAGACTATTTCATATAAAAACAATTTAAAAATTAAAAATCAAGGCCATATCATATAGAATTAATTACTTTTTCTATAGACCTATTTCTATATATGATCTATATAGAAAAAGTAATTGTCCTTTATGTAAGGGAATATTTATACACTCTCTATTCAATAAGAAAATGAGAAGAGATTCCTTCTGGCCCCTTTATAATCTGTTCTAGAGCAGATTGTTTTATAGAAAAACAAGAGAGTATTATTTATAGCCCTTTCATATTGCAATGGCATCCTCTACCCACTGTGGCACTGAGACAAGAGCTTAACCACATCCCATGCACAAGAGTGGGAAGCTCTGGATAGGAGGGCTCTGTTGGAAATAGCTCACTGAAAGGACCAGAAAGAGCCTTCCACACCTGTAGACCTTTATCCTTCATGGGATGTGACCCAGATTAGGTCAATTTTAGTTCTTCTTCTTAACATCTTCTCTGAAGAAAGTTCAGGACTCCTATCTAAATATTCTAACTAGCATTCTTCGAAAAGCACATGTCATCAGAATATTTCCTAGATTGTAAATTACCATATGGTACCAACCACTAAGCTCAATGGCCTTTTCTGCTATCAGAAATACATCAGCAAAGCTCCTTGTCTTGGGCACTAGGAAAGAGGAAATTCTGAGGCCTCATGATCGAGGCATTCAACTGTCCCAGGACAGGGTCCTGTCACTGCAGCTGCCTTACTTTTAGTGACAAGGCAGTATGAAAATGTGCCTGTGGATGTACTGATCCATAAAGAAGACAAAGAATTCCACACTACTCACCACCTTGCCCATAGGAACAATACTGCAGAATTCGTTTTCAAACTATCCCCAATCCATAACACATATGCATAGGCTGAACCCGAGAAGTGTTGAGGAGAAACCATTATGACGGAGCCAACCCTGCTTCCCACCCTATCATCTAAAGGGGAGAAAACAACTGTTTTCTCCTGAATTGCTCCTGTTGCAAGAAGCTATTTCCTTCTATGTATAGAAGCAACAATATCTAGCATTTGCTGTTCCATCAGAGAAGAAAAAACCCTACTGAAGAGGAATCAGTGTTGCTTATATGCTAATCTATTTTATGAATCAAGACAAATATAGAAGTGTAGGAACTACTAAGACAAATTCCACAGAAGTTCCTTGATTTTTTTTTAAATTAAAAATCCCAGACAATAAGACTTTTATGTAATCAGAAGACATATACATTTATCCCTTTTATTTTAATAGAAACAAGAAAGAAAACTCTTTTGTATGCCACCACATCTTCACTAAATTATTTCACTAAAATACTTCTGTGTAGGACTGGGTTATTCCTACCCTAACTAAACACCCTTCCTATTGAACTTTTACACACTACAGTTCATTTCTTATCTCTCTATTCCATTCCATTCTATACATTCAGCTTTTTAACTACACAAACTACAGCACATGGATATTCAAATGAATGAGAAAGTATTTCTACCACAAAGAGAAGTGAGATAAATATATAACTCTAGTGTATTATAAAAACATAAAGTGAATACAAATTATTTCTGACACAGATGTTGCAATTATTAGTAATTGCCAAGTGCAGGGAAATTATTAAATGCCGTGTCATTTAAAAATATATATAATTAAAAAGACTAGGTTTCTTCAATATTAGGTCACTAAAGTTGTTACTCTGATCTTATATATAGTATCCATGGTGTATATGTTTTAAAACAGGACACCATAAAATATTCAGATGATAACATCCTCTTAATACAGTTTGCATTGAAGGTAAACTTTATGCTATGAAAAAAGAATGTGAAGAAAATGTTTAAACTATATGAGAGGCAGCATTTAAAATGCCTTCTGTACTAAAGAATCTCTTGAAATATTCACATCAACAATTTTTATCTAAGCCAGGAGTCTCTCATTGCTAAAACTATTTGAATATAGTTGAATTAAGCCAGACTCAGTTAAACTATTCAGTACGATTTCGTGGGATTTAACTGGAGTTTAAAAATGTGCATATCTTAAATTGCTCATACTATCATTTCACATGCAAGCAACCCTTTTATTTTGCTTCATTAGACTTAAATAAAACTAGAATTGATGATTAAGAAATATTAGACACAGATACACTAAATTCTTACTTACCCTGTTTGGTGACACCATAACTTTCATTTAAATACAGAAAAAAGATTTTAAGTAAGAAATATGGGTCAGTGTCAAGCATATAAAGAACCTCTACCATATTTTGTACCCTTTTGTAAATAATGAAGTTAAAACAAGCCATTCAGCTAGGTTTCTCCAGCCAAACACAAGGATAAATAAGGAAATATCTGATCAATATTGTATATTTACAAACTCCTAGGCCAAGAATAGGGTAAAAACACTCATTCCTATTATAGATTTACTTGGGTTTCTAAGTAAATTCTTTACTTTAAAAAAATAAGACTGATACAGACATATCTCATGATCTTCTTATTGAGTAATTACAGATGGAAGTTCTGTCAAGTATGTTCGTGGCTCTAAAAAAAGTGGGGTGGAGAAAAGCAGAGAGAGAAGACACAAAGTTATGCCAACATGTCACATGTCAGTATGGTAAGAAACTGATGGATGGTCATAATGCTCACTGAAATGTTTTGTTGTTTGTTTGTTTGTTTTGTTTTTCCAGGAAAGAAAATAAAGAAGAACTCTAATTGTAAATCAGCACTATACAATAATTTAGCTAACTATCAACTCATATTAAGAATACTTAATTCTACTAAAGACTATGGCATTCACTTTATAGTTTCTGATTTTAGCTCCAATTGACAAAGTACAGTATTCTTTTAGTTCATATTCTACTCAGAGCAAGAACTCTAACACTTCCAATTGCTCACAGATCTATAAGGACTTCCTTGCCATTTTAGACTATCATACCAGAATTTTGCACCAAAAACCCAACTGTCTGATGTAGTAAATTCCATTTTCCAACCTAAATAAATATGATAATGTTTCAATCACAGCAGTACAAGCATATCAGAGACTGAACCTTTGCATACATTGCACAAACACAGCATTGCTTCATATTGGTTTTTGCACACAAAATGAAATTCACTACAACCACAACCATGCATGCCCTGAATGTAGTATCTCTTCAGGCGCTAATTGATTTCTCAAAATCTACTAAGTGCCTGTTATGTATCAGACCCTAGGGTAAACACTCTCTTGTCAACTTCAGAGAGACCCAAGTGTACTTTCCAAGTCTCTTCTTGCCCCGTTCCTCTCTCTCTCTCTCTCTAAAACAAATGTTCCTGCCAGTAAGTTAGAGAACTGGCCTTACTACACTCTTTTCCCCTATTTTAATGGGAAACTTCCTGAATGTACTTATTGCAAATGTACCAATCATTGAATTTAGGTTAGGATTCCTTTCTCCACCCACCTCGCAACAATTTGATCTGATTTGCCTTCAAAATGATAGAAAACAGAAATGTATTATGCAGTTTCATCTTACGTTTCTCATCAAGAAGCTGGCAGCACATCAAAATAAATTAAGTAATTGAGAAGTAAATCTACATATAAATAAAATAATATGCTCATTTAATAAGTATGATAGAAATTTTCTTTTTCTAAAATAAACTCTATTGTGTATTTGAGGTTTACAATATGATGTTATGGGATATATATAGATGGTAAAAGGAAGCAGATTAACATATATACCATCTTTTTGTGAGAAGAGCAACTGAAATTTACTTATTTAACAAAATCCCTCATACAATACAATTTTATTAACTACAGTCTTAATGTCGTATATTAGATCCCCAGAAAAGAAACTGTCTACTAAACAGGAATTCTGTAATTTCAAAAAATACGCAAAATGGGAGTTGAAATTATTTTTTTCCTTTTTTCTGAAAGTAATAGTCTCACAATTAAGCAACCATTATTATTCTTTAAATAAGTCGTGACAACTTGCAAATGGTTTTATTGAATTTTTCTTTTAGACAGGGTGTTGATCTGTCGCCCAGGCCGGATGGCAGGGGTACCATTACAGGGAGCCTCAAACTCTTGAGTTTGAGCAATCCTCCTGCCTCAGCCTCCCAAAGTGCTGGGATTACAGGTGTGTACCACTGCACCTGGCTGGATTTCTTAATATCAGTTTGAAGGAGAGAGAAATGTTAATTACCTAGGGTTTTAAAGTTAAAATTTTCTGCTGACATTTCTTATACATACAATCGAAATTTTATTCTATCAGTATAGTTTATTTCTTCCCATACTTTTAACATCTCATAGCAGGGAGAGGTGGGGTATAAAACCTATCATTATTAATATATGCAGATAAATTTTTCCCTGCCATGTCACCCAAATGTCTGTCACTAACCCCTTGCATCTTACCAAATCCTACTTGCCCCCTTAGTTTATTCTTCCTCTGAAATTACCTCTTCATCCCCATTTCCTGTCACCACCTCCACCCACCACACACGTTATTAGAGAATCTCAACAGAGATTATTGTAAACCAGAAACGTTTCTTTGTGGTGTATAGTAAGGGGGTGGAGGGTACACCTGTGCTATTGTGAGAGGAGGTATCTCATTCTGAAATGGTGATCTGCTCTATTTCGCAGGAACAGAGCAACCCAATGGTGTAATTGACATTCCAAGCTCTTAGATGAAACTCTTAGTCTTAT